TCTTTCCCTTCCTCTCCTCACAAGACACCTTGTGAAGTAGGTGGGGCTCAGAGATGTCTCTGAGAATGGCTCTTTCCAGGACAACTCTGGGAGAACTGTGACTGACCCAAGGTCACCCAGCTGACTGCATGTGGAGGAGGAGTGGGGAAATCAAACCCAGTTCTCCAGATTAGAGTCCGCCGCTCTTAACCAGTACACCAAACTGACTCAACTGATGTTGAGTCCTGGCTCTGGGATTCAGAGGTTGACTGCCTCTGAACATGGAGGTTCCACATCTGTTTGATTTCTGGCTCAGAGAAAGAGTGGACTTGAGAATTTGAAGACAAGTGAGAGAAAGGGGGTGCTACAGATGGGGAGAATCCCCCCTCCCATTTCCATCCTTCGTCATCCGCTACTGTCATGGAGGATAAATTCCTCAGGGGCTGTGATGGCAAAAATGGAACTTCCATGACCAGAGGCAGTATATCTCTGAATTACTGGGCCACCTTTCTGTCCCTGCTGTGGGCCCTCTGGCCAGAACCAGGCCTGAACGCTGTGATCCGGCAGGGCTCTCCCACGGATGCTCTAATGTGAACGTACTGCGGCGTTTGCTCACCGGGGAAATTCATCATCTTGCCATTCCTCTTTCAGCTCCATGTCCTTGATATTCACCGTCTCTCTGCTCTGCTCCAGGCCCGTCGGCTTCTCCGGGTTCTTCGTACCCCTGCAAGGCCAAAGGACACCCAGACTCCTCAAGACCACCTCCCTTGTTTGTTTGTTTTTAACTATATTTTTTTCCATTTTTAATTATCCATTTACAGTAAATAATATCAGTATTATATAGGATAAGTATACATCAACTTGACCACTTACAAAGGAACGTTCTAATCACAGAGAGATATGCACCAGTTTAACGCCTGAAAATAAAATTTTCTTTCCTTCATAAACTTAATATTAACATTGTCGACGTTTACCACAGATTAAGATTGTCTATTACATCTGGTATTATCTTTTGAGAAACTAGGTAAGCTAAAATAGGTAGCCATATACTGGTAAGTTCACTATAGGTAAAGGTCGAAAGCCAGTCGAATCCGACTCATCTCCGTTTCCAAGCCGAAGAGCCAGCGCTGTCCGAAGACGTTTCCATGGTCATGTGGCCGGCATGACTAAACACCAAGGCGCACGGAACGCTGCTCCCTTCCCACCGAAGCGGTGCCTATTTATCTACTTGTGATTTCTTGCTCCAGACATAAGAACATAAGAGAATCCATATTGGATCACACCAATGGCCCCTACAGTCCAACACTCTGTGTCAGACAGTGGCCAAAACTCAGGGGCTACTGGGAGGTCCACCAGCAGGGCCAGAACTCCAGAAGCCCTCCCACTGTTGCCCCCCAAGCACCAAGAAGACAGAGCAAAATTATCCCAGATATAAGAACATGAGAGAAGACATGTTGGATCAGGCCAAGGGCCCCTCGTCCAACACTCTGTGTTAAACAGTGTCCCAAACCCAGAGGCCATCAGGAGGTCCACCAGCGGGGCCAGAGCTCCAGACGCCCTCCAACTCTTGCCCCACAAGCACAAAAAAGACAGAGCAAAACTATCCCAGACATAAGAACATGAGAGAAGACATGTTGGATCAGGTCAATGGCCCATCCAGTCCAACACTCTGTGTCGCACAGTGGCCAGAAATACCAGCTCCCATCAGGAGGTCCACCAGTGGGGCCAGGACATTAGAAGCCCTCCCACTCTTGCCCCCTAAACACCAATAATACAGAGCATGCCCAGACATAAGAACATAAGAGAAGCCATGCTGGATCAGGCCAATGGCCCATCCAGTCCAACACTCTCTGTCAAACAGTGGGCAAAACCCAGGGGCCATCAGGAGGTCCACCAGCGGGGCCAGAACTCCAGAAGGTCTCCCACTCTTGCCTCCCCCCAAGCACCAAGAATACCAAGCATCACTGCCCCAGCCAGAACTCCAGAAGGTCTCCCACTCTTGCCCCCCCCCAAGCACCAAGAATACCAAGCATCACTGCCCCAGACAGAGCGTTCCATCTGTAAAGGTAAAGGTTCCTTTGCTCGAAAGCCAGTCGAGTCCGACTCTAGGGTTGAGGTGCTCATCTCCGTTTCAAAGCCGAAGAGCCAGCGCTGTCTGAAGACGTTTCCGTGGTCATGTGGTCGGCATGACTAAACACCAAGGCGCACGGAACGCCGTTACCTTCCCACCGAAGTGGTCCCTATTTATCTACTTGCAATGTCTTGCTTTCGAACTGCTAGGTTGGCAGGAGCTGGAACTAGAGACGGGAGCTCACGCCGTCATGCGGCACACTCGGGTCTCGAACTGCTGAACTACTGACCTTCCACAGCCTGCAGTTCAGCGTCTTAACCACTTGAGCCACCTTGTGGCTAACAGCCACTCATAGACCTCTGCGCCCTATGTTTCTCCAATCCCCTCTTGAAGCTGTCCATGGTTGTAGCCGCCACTTCCTACATAAGAATGCACCCTCAAATAGACAACACTGTTCAATTGGTTCCCTAACTGGGATACAGAGAGCTCTACCTGTTGGACTTCTCCCTGGGCACAGCCCCAGGAAAGGGCATTGCGGTGCAGTCAGGGCTCCGGGGTCCGCCGATGTCCCTTCTGACGGCTTCCTTTAGCCTGAACCGAGTTTTCCGCCACCTTGGAGCGACCGTTCCCGTGAAGGGCAGGCTCGGGATTTAAACACCGCATTCAAACAAACCACCTGGCTCCGTCCCTGGTGCTCCTTGGAAGAGCCCCCCCCCTCCCGCAAACAAAGCCACAACTACCTGGACGGCAAATTGGGCCCAACTGCCAAGGAGATCCGAGGAGCCAGAAGCCCAAGCCTGCAGTCAAGGCGCTTTTCCGTCCATCCCTGCGCCCCCAATCTGACGGCGTCCGTCCCGAGCTGGCAGGCAGCTGAATCGAAGGTTTGCGGTCGAGCGTCACGCCCAGCCAGGGAACACATCACTCCCTTGGCAACGCCGGCCTGACGGGCAGGTGGATTGGTTTTGTTTGCCTAAATCAGCAGAGCCGAGGGAGGCGGCTGGCGCACAGCCGGGCCTGGCTCTAACGCAAGGGGAGGCCGGGCGACCAGTGTTCCCTCTCAGCTGAGCGAGTGTGAGCTAACTGACCGTTTTTAAGCCTCCGGCTCGCACACTTTTGTCTCCGCTCAGGAAGGAGGGCTCTGGAGCCAACTAATTTATGCAGCGGCCAAATCGCCTTGCTCACAACTTTCATGCCAGGAGCTCACCAAGTAGAATTTTTGCTCACAGGACTCCGCAGCTTAGAGGGAACAGTGGCGACCCAGTAGCCCGTCTCAGGCAGCGGCCAGCCAGGGGAGCCCCGTAAGCTCACGATCGAGGCAGGACGGCGACTGCCCCATCTCGCTGCTTGCCCTCCGGCGACTCCAATGCAGAGGTAGACTGTCTCTGCTGCTGGAGGTTCCGTTCTGCTACGTGAACCATCTTCGAATACAAGCACCTATGAACTTAGGCGGATCATGAGAGAGAGGGCCAGGAAGGATGGACCGGTGCCTGGTTCTCGTGGCCCTTTCTTTACCTGCCCAGGGAAATGCCGATCGCCACTTTGGGGTCAGGATGCACCCTCCAAGCTGGGGATTATTAGGAAGGGAATTGAAAACAGATCAGCCAGTATCATCGATGGTGCAACCTCACTTGGAGTACTGTGTACAGTTCTGGTCACCACACCTCAGAAAGGATATTATAGCCTTGGAAGAAGTGCAGAAAAGGGCAACTAGGATGATAAAAGGGTCGGAACACTTTCCCTGTGAGGAAAGGTTAAAGCGCTTGGGGCTCTTTAGCTTGGAGAAACGACGACTGAGGGGTGACACGATCGAGGTTTATAAGATTACACATGGGACACAACAGGTAGAGAAAGAAGTACTTTTCTCCCTTTCTCACAATAGAAGAACTCGTGGGCACTCCATGGAATTGCTGAGCAGTCGGGTTAGAACAGGTACAAGGAAGTCCTTCTTCACCCAAAAGAGTGATTAACACATGGAATTCACTGCCACAGGAGGTGGTGGCAGCTTTAAGCATGGACGGCCTCCAGAGGGAATTGGATAAACATGTGGAGCAGAGGTCCATCAGTGGCTATTAGCCACAAGGTGTTGGTGTACGGCAAGGGATGCTCTGTCTTCTTGGTGCTTGGGGGGGGGTCAACAGTGTGAGGGCTTCTAATGTCCTGGCCCCACTGCTGGACCTCCTGAGGGCACCTGGTCTTTTTGACCACTGTGTGACACAGAGTTTTGGACTGGATGGGCCACTGGCCTGATCCAACATTGGCTTCTCTTATGTTCTTATGACTCCCCACCTGAATCTCAGCTCAAGAATAGACTTGATATAACTGGCAAATAAGGCCTCTGATCGTGCGCAGAGTGCCTTCCCTGTGACAATAATGAATGGCCTGGAGACAGGGAAATGACCTCTTCTTCTGCTATGGTGAGAATTTCCCGTTGCCCAGTCAGACCGACAAAAGACAGTCTTCCTTCCCACAACACGTAATTCACTGACGGAACTCCCTGCCACTAGGTGTGGCGGCGATGAGAAGTCACTCAGGCGTTTGTTTTGCTTTGCAAGAAAAGAATTAGGCCAAATCCGTGGGCAGAAAGAGGCCCCCGCCGACCTGTCGACGACGACTGCCAAATTCACGAGCGTCCACGTACAGAGGCAGTCTACCTGTTAGCAGTCTCCCTTTCTCACAATACAAGAACTCGTGGGCACTTAATGAAATTGCTGAGCAGTCGGGTTAGAACGGATAAAAGGAAGTACTTGTTCACCCAAAGAGTGATTCACACATGGAATTCACTGCCACAGGAAGTGGTGGCGGCTATAAGCATGGACGGCTTCAAGAGGGAATTAGATAAGCATGTGGAGCAGAGGTCCATCAGTGGCTATTAGCCACAAGGTATAGATAGGGACTCTGGGGCAAGGGATGCTCTGTCTTCTTGGTGCTTGGGGGGGGGTCAACAGTGGGAGGGCTTCTAATGTCCTGGCCCCACTGGTGGACCCCCTGATGGCACCAGGTATTTTTGGCCACTGTGTGACAGACAGAGTGTTGGACCGGATGGGCCATTGGCCTGATCCAACATTGGCGTCTCTTATGTTCTTATGTTAGTGTTCCCTCTAAGCTGAGTGAGTGTGAGCTAGCTCGCAGTTTTGTTAGCCTCCGGCTCACACTTTTTTATCTCAGCTGAGGAGGGAGGGCTCCCGAGCAGACTAATTGATGCAGCAGCCCAATCGCTCGCTCACAACTTTTAACGCCAGCAGCTCACAAAGTAGTATTTTTGCTCGCAGGACTCCACAGCTTAGAGGGAGCATCGCCTGGAAGTGGCCCCCAGACAAGAGGAGGCCTTTCTCGGGCACACCTGCCTCCCCGTTGTCTGGAAGCGGAGCGCTGGGTTTGTTGTTCCCAACCAGGCGTGCCTCTACAGTTGCCTCCACTTCTTCAGAGAAAGCCGCCCCGGCAGAGCGCACCCCCCTTGGCTTGCCGCAGAGCCACATTCCAGGTTCCACGTCTAGCCCTCCCCAGCATGAATCACATGTTGCTGAACAGGTCCCAACGCATCTCTGCCGTGACTCCAACAAGGTGGAGATCTCCTGCCTGTCATCGCGGCCCAAAAACAAGGATGAGCCCGGAGCGACGAGGGCCGTTGTTTAGACAGTTGGCGCAGGCCGGAT